TTCTCTAGAACTGGTCAGAACCTGCTGAATACCACCTCTGGTGCTGTGCTTATAGCACTCTGATAGCAATGTTGTAAGAGTAAAAGGTAAAAATTTCTCCTGTCCAGGCATGTCATTTACACCCCTAGGGCAGGGATGTCAAATTCAAGGCCCATGGCCCAGAGGGACTCAGCATTGCTTGAAGATCTTTCTGTCGTCATGTGGCCAGCATGTTCTGACCCAAACCCTTTTCCAAGAAGACAAATAATAACCAAAGGAAACAGAAACCTTTTAATGAGTCTTAGGAATCCCCGGTTAAAAGGCTGCTGCAAACTTACTAACTTTGATAAGCACAAACCTTGTCAAAACTGTACGAGTCTGCCAAGAATCACAGATAAGAAATATTTCACAACAAAAGAGTCTTCAAATACCAAATTAAGTTACTGTAATGTCCACAAGGCTGAGTCTCAAAACGTCTTTGCTTCCCACAAAGAACGTTCACTTCACAGCTGGCTTTTATCTTCTTGAAGGAGGAGCCATTACCTTGCAGCCTTACTCCCGAGTCGCCCGTGCTGTTGCAGCTGCTCTTTCCTGTGAGCAATCCTGTGCGCATGCACACTTGGCACAGGCTCCTCGGGAACCTCCTCATCGCTGCTGCCAGCCCCCACAATCTGTGAAGGCAGCAGTCCACTCCCTAATGGTCCTGGCCCCTCATCTGAGTCCTCGCTCTCCTCAGCCGTCCGCACCTGCTGCCGGCTAACCACAACACCGCATGACTATACGCCAAGGCACACAGAACTCTGTTACCTTCCAACCCAAGTGGTACCTATTTATCTACTCGCATTTACCTGCTTTCGAACTGCTAGGTGGGCAGGAGCTGAGGCAAGGAACAGGAACTCATCCCACCTGGGTGCTGGGGTCTCGAACAGAGGCTGTAAGGATACATTAACAGAATCTATGAGCTGTCGTGGTGCAGATCGAATCTCACCAGGCTCAAGGTTGACTCAGGCAGCCTTCCATCCTTCCAAGGTGGGTAAAATGAGGACCCAGATTGTTGGGGGCCATAGGCTGATTCTGTGAACCACTTAGAGGGGGTTGTAAAGGCACTGTAAAGCGGTATATAAGTCTAAGTGCTACTGCTATCTTGCAAGTCTGAAAGAAGACTGTCTCCTTTACAGTCTTTACTCATGTCTCAAAGTCTTTTATGATATGCCATTACATGAGTTGATGTAAGTTGCAACTACGTCTTCATCCAGCATGTCATTAAGTTGTGGAATTCATTGAGGTGAGGCCTACTAGCAACTAGCTTTATACCGAGATTGTATAAATTAATAGAAGAGAAATCGGTCAAGGGCTATTAAGTTTGAAAACTTAATGGTATTTCTGGGCAGTTTTGGTCTAGTGGTTAAGTGGTTTGGTCTAGTGGCATCAGGCCAGAAACCAGGAGATTGTGAGTTCTAGTCCCACTTCAGGCACGAAAGCTGCCTGGGTTACTTTGGGCCAATCACCAGGAGATTGTGAGTTCTAGTCCTGCCTTTGGCATGAAAGCTGGCTGGGTGATTTGGGCCATCCACTTTCTCTCAACCCAAGTCACCTCACAGAGTTGTGGGGAAAATAGGAGGAGGAAGGAGTATTGTGTGTTTGCAACCCTGAGTTATTTATAAAGGTGGGACATAAATTAAATAAATAAACAAACAACCGTATGTAAGGAATATGCCTTCACCTCCTGCTTTGGAGCATCTGAAATTCACCCGATGGTGGGAAATAAACGTTTGGATGAGGTGGTCCTTGGTCTGATCCAACAGGGATATTCTTATATTTGTATGACGGCATCCTACTAGTTTTAAGAATCTCAAAATGTGATCTTTGGTTTGGTTCTGCAACCCAATAAGACAGACACAGACTTCAGAGAGTAATTGGGACTGCAGAAAAAACAATTGCTACCAATCTCCCTTCCATCGATGACTTGTATACTGCACGAGTCAAAATGACGGCTGTGAAAATATTTACAGACCCCTCACATCCCGGACATAAACTGTTTCAACTCCTTCCCTCAAAACAAACGCTATAGAGCACTGCACACCAGAACAACTAGACACAAGGACAGTTTTTTTCCTGAATGCCATCACTCTGCTAAACAAGTAATCCCCTCAACACTGTCCAATTATTTACAAAGTCTGCACTACTATTACTATTAATCTTCTCATCACTTCTTATCACACATCCCCTCCCACTTGTGATTGTATGACTGTAACTTTGTCTCGTGTATCCTTGCTATTTATATTGACTGTTTCTTAATATTTGATTGCTTATTGTACCCTATGATTATTATTAAGTGTTGTACCTTATGATTCTTGACGAATGTATATTTTATGTACACTGAGAACATTTGCTCCAAGACAACTTCCTTGTGTGTCCAATCACACTTGGCCAATAGAGAATTCTATTCTATTCTATCTTAAGAACCTTAGCGTTGTTTGTGTTATATTGGATCCCACAAACTAGGTAAGGTGTGAGCATATGTTCAACCTTGCAACGTTAAGACTTGGGGACTTGAACTCCCCGATTTCCCCAGTCAAGTTATGCTCTATGCTGGCTGGGGAATTCTGGGAGTTGAAGTCCCCAGATCTTAAAGTTGCCAAGGTTGGATACCCCTGGCATGCAGTCTTCTGAAGTTTCTGAAATAGGGTTGAAAATGGGAGATTGAGTTGGTTGAGCAGCAAGGTTTCAGAGATTTTTTAGGAAAGTTTAGGTCCATCCCCAAGGCTGAAACTGGTGCACAGATTTTCCCCTGAAAAGTAATATGGATGGGTGGATTTATCTTGTGCTAGAAACAAAACAATCTTGAATGAATGCAGTCCTGTTAGCTTAATGTCAGTAATATAGGGCATGGGTTCATTCAGAGTCCACCACGGCACCAGATAAATTGAATTTAAGCAGGAAAAGATAAAGAAATTAATAGCTCTCGGTGCATTCAGATCAAGCCAGTTTGTATTGCTTCACCCAGGAACCAGATGCCAAATGTTGCCAGAGACTTTAATTGGCGTCTTGGAGCACAGATTTTGCTAAAACCCCAAGAGGAGAAAATTCTATATTTTTACTGAATCGAAACAGTGTTGGTAAGCTTTAAAAAAAAAATTTGCATGCATCGGAATGGCTTACAACTCTCAAAAGTATTTTGGCTTGATTTAGTCTTAAATTCCTGGCCAAAACCTATCCAAGGGATGCATCAGATTATGACACCTTAAATTGTTAACAAACCTCTGTCTTCAGATTTTTAATTTTTGGGGTGTAACTTTTAGTAGAGGAAGTCTGGCTTACAATTATATATTGTTTCCCAGGGAAGCATTTCATATCAGATAGGGAAATAGCAACATGCAGCCCCCAAACACGTGGCAAGTTATACAGTGCAGAAAATCCTTTTTTTTTTTTCCTGGCATAGCTCTACTAACTATCATGCTAAGCCATTGTTTGTTTAATTGTGGTATATTGAGTCAGATGTGTTCTCTTTACATAGTAAGCCTGGGATTGGTGATGTAGCGTTCACAGGATTTTTGTTTTTTGGCCACTAGATTCCAACCTTGGCAACTTCAAGACCTGTGGACTTCAACTTCTAGAATTCCCCAGCCAGCATGGCTGTGCTTGAGGAATTCTGGGAGTTGAAGTCCACAAGGCTTCAAGTTGCCAAGATTGGACCACACTGCTGTATCTCCTGATCTTGATTTGTCTGCGGATGCCTTTGATAAAAAGGGGGAAACTTGGCTGGCATCATAACCAAACATAAGTTTTGATTTATTTATTTTTTAATGGCCCCAGTGGGAGAGGGGAAGCAGATTGAAGTTTTTACAGATTACAGATAATCAGAGTTGGAAGGAACCTTGTAGGTCATCTAGCCCAACCCCCCGCCCAAGCGGGAGACCCTACACCATTTCTGACAGATGGGAGTCCAATCTCTTCTTGAAAGTCTCAAGTGATGAAACTCCCACAACTTCCGAGGGCAACTTCTGTTCCATGGGTTGATGGTTCTCACTGTCAGAAAGTTTCTCCTTGTTTCCAGGTTAAATCTCTCCCTGTTCAGTTTCCATCCATTCTTCCTTGTCTGGCCTATAGGAGCTTTAGAAAATAGCTTGACCCCCTCCTCCCTGTGTCAGCCCCTCAAGTGCATGGCTTGGAATTCTTCCTTTTTGTCCAGGCAAAACAACACCATTTGGAGGAAAAGATGGGATAGGGAGGAAGAATATCACAATTTTTGGACACCGTTTGTCCCGGGCTTTTGGCCACACGGGACAATTAGCTACCAGCCAATCGAGTGGCAGGCAGAAGCCACGGTGCTTCTGCCTGCTGGCTGGGACTGCCATTTGGGGCAGCGGTCGCCAACCAGTGGGGCTGGGGACCACTGGTGGTCCACGAAAAAAATTTGGTGGTCCACAGAGAAATGTCACCCCCAAAGCAATTAATCCAGGCTGCATGGGAACACACAGCTGTGCCACCCACATGGCCTGCAGGAACATAAGGCTTGCATCGCTTGCATTGTGAACAACATGAGGTAGCGAGGGGAAGGGGGAAAGTGTGGAGGGGGGAACTTGCCCCACTTTCCCCATGCACCTTGCCTGGCCACCGGGCTGCTTCTTTCCGCTTCTTTCTTCTTCTGCTTTTGGCTGCATGCAAAAAAAGCAGCAAAAGTCTTTCTTTGTCTCTCCCAAACTCCACCAGAAATGAGTCTTTGAGACCCTGCAAGGCCTCCTGCTCCAAGAAGCTGGCGTGACAAGTCTCACAGAAACTCATTTCTGGCTGAGTTTGGGGGAGAGAAAGAAAGACTTCTGCTGCTTTCCTTGCATGAAGCCAAAAGCCTCTCTCTCTCTCTCTCTCCCTCCCTGCGATCCCAAATAAAGAATGATCAATCGGTAGGAAAACGGAGTGGGGAATTTTCCTGCAGACTTTTTTGGGGATTTTCCCAGGGTCTCTGGTCCACGGGATTTAAAATTACGAGTTTGGTGGTCCCCGAGGTCCAAAAGGTTTGCGACCCCTGGTTTGGGGAACAATCAATTTCTCCATGGCTCATCATTTGCTCTTTGCAATAATGGAGAATAGGTGTAGCTCAAAATTGGCCTGTTGATGTGTTCTCTCAGCTCGGTGATTGTCCTGTAGATCAGGAGTCTCCAAGCTTGACAATTTTAAGACTTGCGGAATTCTGGGAGTGGAAGTCCACAGGTTTTAAAATTCCTGAGGTTGGACCACAGTGCCAGGATGCCTTCGTTTAAAAAGGTGAAACTTGGCAGGCTGCAGAACCAAACATGAGCTTTGTTGCTGTTTTTTCCATGCTAGCTGAAGAATTGTGGGAGTTGTAGTCCACAAGTCTTAAAGTTACCAAGGCTGTAGATATTGGGCAACGAAGCTAGGTAGCAGCATCAGTTCATGAGGGAGTGAAGTATTGCCTCGTTCGGTGATGGCTAACCTTTCCGTCGTCACGTGCCGAAAGTGCGCGCATATGTGCCTGTACCCATAATGCAACAAGTGCGTGACCCACCCTTGCGCATGTGTGTGCGCCCCCATGCACCACCCACCTCTGCGCATGCCCCCTCCCCATGCACGCCGCATGACTCTGCACATTTATCTCACATGTCCTGCTCCTCGTGCATGCGTGGCAGATACCCAACAATCAGCTGGCTGTCCAGGTTCGCCACCATGGGCCTAGTTGGTAATGAAAAGCCTGCAAGAAAACAACCAAGAATCCAACTTACACTCTCTGAATGGGCCACTTCCAATTAGCTCTATAGATCCTAAATCGCAAAAGAGCAGTAGCAGCTCTCCTAGGCATACCATCCATAGCCATACTATGCAAGGTGATTTTGGTATCTCGGTGGAGCCTGGCCATCTCTGCAAATATTAAAATAAAAACAAAAGGAAAATGAGAGAAGCAACCTCCCTGTTTACACCTTATTGAAATGGTTTTATTTACCTATGATGAAAACTTGTTTCCTCCCCTCAGTAATCGCCCCTTAAAATGCAAGAGATATTGGAAATTTTGCCTAT